AACATGAAACTGTTTGTGGAATGGATGCATGAGGAAGGTGAAACAGGAAGGGAGAACTAGGCATTGATACTGTTGGCCTCAACTCTTTCTATCGTGTCCCTGGCAGATTTTCTGCAAGGTAGAAATGTTCCTTTAGAAGCTATAAGGAAAATAGGGAAAAGCAAAGGATTTGTTTTCAGGTCAGTAAACCATGAGGTTGTACAATCTGGTGTAGTGTCTGGATTTGTTGTCTAACAGACCCTTTCCTTCATTCTGAGTTCTGAGGTTTTTTTTCTAAATGAAAGTCTGATCGTCTGTTTTGATGGGGTTGATTGTGTGTTCTAGATCGACAGGATTCAAGGAGTCACAGTTCGAGGCGAAGTTCTCCTGAATCTGATCGCCAAGGTCACTCCAGATCTGGGTCCTTTGACAGCAGAGAAAGAGTGCAGGACAGAGACCGGCATGAGCATGATCGCGAACGGGAAAGAGAGAGACGGGATGGGAGGCAGAGAGATTGGGACCGAGATGCAGCCAAATCTGATTGGTTGAGGAGCAGAGACCGGGACAGGATTCGGGAACGAGACAGACAACGAGAAAAACGAAGAGATCTGGACCGTGAAAAAGAACGTCCGCTCCCTGAAAGTCTGGAAAGAGAGAGAGGTGTCAGCACTTCCTCTCAAGCAGAAATATCCAAGCACAGTGAGACCAAAGCAAGTAAAGATCATCAGGCTTTTGAGGCCACCTGTCTGGATTCTGCTTCCCAGGAGAAGGAAAGGCAGGATAAAGACCTGGGTGCTTTGCAAGGATTTGAAGATGGAATTGAAGCAGAGAAAGTGGAAAACATAGAAGGTAAGTCATTCTGAAAATACAAATGCTGGCTGTTTTCCTGCTTTAAAACAAACATAAATGGCCTCATGTAATAATAAATCATCGTATTTGAACATTCTGAATTTCAGGTTTCCTCATGTAGTTTTTTGAGCAGCATAGTTACTGGTGGACTCCACATGAAGTAGGTTCTTTAGGAGATTGTACAGTAGCTAACTTTACTGTCAAAACTTTTCCCAGTACAAATGATATTTTTGCTCTCTGAAAACTGATGGTGGTGGAAGAGAAACCGGGAGGAGAAAAGAGACACAGAAAAGATTAAACCCAGAGTGCGGTTTCTCTGATCTGGCTCCAGACACGAACAACAGGCAAACCTAATTAGGTCTGCTGCATCATCTCATTTAGCGGGCCATTCCTGTTGGATCTTGTAGAGAGTTTGACGGAATAAGTGCATTTTGCAACATTTCTGTCTGTTTTGCAGGTGGAGATGATGAAACAAAAATAGATGATGTGCAGTCAACGGAATCTGGTGCTGGAGAATATGAGCCAATCAGTGATGATGAATTGGATGAAATTTTGGCAGGTGATGCTGAAAAGAGAGACGATCAGCAAGATGAGGAGAAGATGCCAGGTAAGCTTAGCAAAAATCAGGTACCTCAGTCGTATGTGTATTAGAAAGCCAAATTATTGTTCCAAAATGATTATTCCTGACTTGAAACAATAACCTGAAGCCTGCCCAATCTATGCACAAAGAAAATGAATCGTCTTGATAAAGGTAATAGAGCCGTTCCAATTTAGCTGGTCATGAGAAAGAGGAGTGTAGGAAACTATATAGTTGAAGAAATATCAGTGCCCTAGTCAAGAACATAAGAGGCAGGCCAAAGGTGGTACAAAGTTACCCAGATTCCCCAATCGGTTTTGTTTGGATTAGGCTATGACCCATGAATCCGTGCATCTTGCATTTTTAGATAAACATTTTTAAAACGGAGACAGGCCAGGCCTGGTCCGGTGATTCAGTCCCTGGGAGTTTTCCTCGAGAAATGACAGGGTCTTGTCTTAATTGAAGAAGGCTGACTGTTACGGGCGAAGGAGCTCCTCTCATTTCTTCCATAAAGTTACTTTCCTTTGGCCTCTTCAATGGTTGGGAACAGGTCAGAGTCTACTTTCTTTCCTGGATCTTTCTCAGGAATCAGATCTGAAAGAAGATAAAAACAGCTGTACCCTAAACAGGGGAAAAGCAAGTTTCCTACAAGAGTCCTAAGCCAACCGAAAGGAGGTCTCATCCTGCTTTGTTTTTTCTTTGAGCGGGATAGTGATTGCCTCAGAGTGAGATTTGCAACTGATCTTCCCTGTTTGCAGCCAGGAAACCATTGCAACAATCTTTGTGCCCATACTCTAGTGGGTACTTTGGTATCTAAGAGATAATGTTATTTAAGAGTAAACATTTGCATTTGTCTTATTCTACAATTTATAGTCTCCTCTTAGGTTTTACTCATTTGCTTTAGTTACAGGTTTTCTGTTGCTTATTTAAGAAAAGGACTGAAACAACAAATGAAAATATCTTCAGTTTTGTTTTGTTTGTTTTTTGTATGTGTTTGCAGATCCGGTGGATGTCATTGATGTAGATTGGTCAAGCCTGATGCCAAAACAGCCAAAAGAGCCCCGAGAGCCTGGAGCTGCTCTTTTAAAATTTACTCCAGCTGCTGTTATGTTAAGAGTTGGCATTTCCAAACAACTGGCTGGCCCTCAGCTCTTCACAAAGATAAAAGAAACTTGTCAGAGATCTTTGGAGAAACCTAAAGGTAAATTAGTTTATTCCCAGCAGATCATGAAGTTAGAAAACCCTTCAAAGTTCGTATTAATTTTTGTTTCTGAGCACGTGTCATTCTGAAAAGACTACTTCTAATTGTGCAGGGACTGTTTATAAATCAGAGCAACATGCTCACCAAGATAAGGCATGCAGGTTTGTAAAGACCTGATAGAGTTGTTCTGTTGAAACAATTTTACTCTGTCTTTGTGTGTATGAAATCTCCCTTTCTCCCAAGGCAACCAGGTAGCCTGTTCCTCTTCCTGCTACGGAGAAGGGAGGTGCTCCGAGGGAAGTGGCTTGGACTAGATTCAGGGAACTGGATATTGGGAGAAGAAGTAGTGACTTCGCATGATTCTCTAAAGATAGTGTCTCGGCTGGTATTGGAGATCTGAATCCCCATTGTAGAAGACTTTAGATCTCACCGTTATATTGCCTCTTTGTAGATGCAGAGAGCCTTTTTGAGCATGAATTTGGGGCTCTGAATATGTCTGCCCTATTGCGAAAAGAAGAGCGAGCCGGACTGCTGTGCAACCTGGGCCCTTGCTGTAAAGCTCTTTGTTTTCGGAGGGATTCTGCAATCCGCAAGCAGCTTGTGAAAAATGAAAAGGCGAGTACCGGAAATGTATTTTAAGATATAGTAAACTTTGATGCAAAAATCATTGGCCATATAGTCATCTCATTACATAGCTGCAACATATTTTGCTCATTTTTAAAGTCTTTTTTCCTCCTCTTTGTGAAAGCAACATGAAGTTAATAAAAGTTCTAAAAATGGGATTATCACTTTGTTGAGCAGCTATTGTTCCACTGAAATAATATTCAGAGCTTTTCTGTGAAATCCTTGGTATTCAGAAGTGCTTAATATTCGAGCAAGCATAATCTTCAAAATGCATTTATTTATTTATTTTTATGTGTCATATTTGTATGGCTGTCCATTTCCCAAAAGCACGGCTGTGTTCTCCCAGAATTCTGGGGCAGAATATTTCTTTTGAAAAGTGGATTTACATTTAACCTTACAAAAAGGGTACCTGATTCTTAATATTTGGAGTTTCCTGCTTTGACTTCTTCCTCATCTTATCTGTCTTCAGGCTTATGATTGTTTTGGACATCTTTCATCTAGAAAAGGGGGTCCCCAACTAGGCCCAGTGTGAGCTGTGGGCGCCCACAAGCTTCCACAAGTAGTGGGGCCAGCACACGTGCCTGCCACTCGTGCAAGTCGATCACACATGTGTGCCGGCCCACTGTTTGTGCAGCCCAGTTCCCCTCTTCCCCCCTAGCCAGGCCTGCTGACCCAGAACTTTTGGTGCTGTGTCTCCAATAATTTCAATTGTGTATATATTTTTACAGAATAAAATATGCTGCTTCTGAAATGCTAGTAATCTTACATTAGAAAACTTATGCAATCATTGCTAATATAAGTCATATCCTGTCTTAACAGGGCACAACAAAACAAACCTACACAAATCCTCCAGTGGTGGACAACGAGTTGCTTCGGCTAAGCCTACGATTGTTTAAACGCAAGACTGTGCAGCAAGGGTCTGGGCCAGATAAGACAGAGGATTCTAAACTGACACAACCCTATGTTCCAGAAATGTGCCTGTCCTGAGCCAGAGCCTCCTGCCCTATGGTTGTTTTGTTTCACTGTTTGATAATGTTGATGTTTGCAGTCTTACTTCCTTTAAGTATGATGTTGCCACAAGAATGAAAATACTCAAAAAGAGTACCTGTGTGGATTCTGAGACAGAATGACAAGGAAAAGTATTTAGTACAAAAACCGAAGACCACTTTGTCTGTTTTTTGCTGCATGTTTTATGACAAGAGTTCTAACCATGGATTTTATTTAAAAAGTCACTTGTGTTTAAGTGTGTAAAAACGTCCATTTTGGGATATCTGTTTTATCATCTATTAAATTTTTAAGAAGAAAACAGTTCTGATTTTTTCCCCATTTCTTTTTTCTCTTCCATAACATTTCCTTTGTAAGATCAACAAGCTAATAATCTTTACCATCCAAAAAAGAATCATAAAAAATACAATGCATGTTATCTGCATGAAGTCCTTTTTTTTTAATTATGAAGGTGAGATAAATCCAGTTGCATGCTCGGTGGAATTCCTCAGATGCTAGAGGAAAAGGTGGGATTATTTTTTCCAGATCTTCCTCTAGGTCAGGTCTCAGAGGGGGCTACACCTGAAACACCCTTGAAGTTTAGTTTAGTTTGTGGTTAATATGCTTTTGAAAAAGGTTCCATTTGAAATATATCTAGACATCCTCACCAAATGTTCTTGAAATGTATTAGGCCATAATCTAAAAGTGGCGATGCTAATAGTGTTTTACATATATTCTTTTTGTTTGTTTGAACATACTGACTTTGCTATTTAGCTGCTTGTTTTTACCTAACTGCAATTATCTCTCCAACCAAGGATGCTTTGTATGATCAGTCAGTAGGAGGCACCTACATTCCAGAAAACAGTTGGAAAATGTGGTTTTGGGTGAGATGTTTCTTCAGTTTGCATTTCAATTTGGTTTCACCCAAGGCCATTCACAGATGGTCTTCAGACTGTGACCAGAGCTTCGGAACCCTTCTGAAAATTGGATTGTTTTATTTCTGCCTTTTCTTTTGTTTTCTTTCTCTAAATATCCCACCCCAGTATTGATCCTATTTTTTCAGTTTATCAGTGTTCTGCGCCATTGGATAATTTGAGGAAGAAATGCCGCCCTGGGGTCTTTTTCTTAAGATTTGTTCTACCATCTGCGGTGTTAGATTATAATTATCTCTTGCACACAGGTGATGTTATTTAAGCTGTTTAACAAGAACAGGAGGCTTATATCATAAAGAAGAACAATATAAATATTCTCATTGTCTATAATGGACAAAAGATCCAGTTACAGATGTGATCTATTTGTGCTACTAAGATAATTATAAGGTATTAACACAGGTTTTGTTTATTGGTCCTTGTTAAAATTGCTTAATGTTGCTGACTGAAGCACTGGTAGAGTGTCTCAACACCACATGGTTACCAAATTAATTAAGGAAAATATTCTATATTCCTCCTAAGCTGGAGATCAGTACCACTACAAAGCTTCATTTTCATACATATGTTTGATCCTCCACTTGCAGGTTCTGTGACATTTTCACATAGTGCACTGTTAACAACACAAGGCTGAAAGGCTGGGTTCTTTCTTTCTAGAAAAAGGCCTAAAATTTGGCCGTTTCCCTTTGAATGTACTTACAGACAATAGATGGAAATCAATTATTTCTAATAGAGCCGCATATTTCAGAAATGATCTCAAGAAAGGTTTTGAACCTTGCATAAGGATAGCACTACTTTGCTACTCATTAAAGCAGCCACGTTTTTTTTTTAGGCTTCCAGCTTAGCAAACCCCCTCCCCCCACCCCCATGCAGCTACTTTAAGAGTCCCAGTTGACTTTTAAAGCAGTAGCAGCCTTCTTCAGGTTTGTATGGGGAAAAAGTTGCAAATGCTTTTAAACAGCAGCTGAGCAATGCTGTGTTCATAAAGCCATTCTTCAGAATCAGGTTTGAACGGCCTTCATTATCCATACTGTTTATCATAGAAAAATAACATGGAAAACAAGTCCTATTTAAAATTAAAATAGCAAAACGGCATGAATTAAGTTGTCTGTATGTAATGCTGTACTGCCTAATGCCAAAATGGGATTGCATGTTTTACATATTGTTAATCACATGTGAAGCTATGATTTTGATTCCGGTAATTGCTTCGTAGCAGGTTGGCTTAATGAGATGCTGAGGAAGTAAGAATCCATATCTTCCTTGGTCCCGAAGCTCAAAAGTAAAAGAATACTTAATACCTTGGTCATAAGCCCAGTCATCCGAACCACCCGGGGCTAAATCTATGAGGGAAAGCAGAAGTATTAAGGACCCAAGGTCAGCCATGGCCTGTTGATAAACAGAGGTACTTTTTGATCTCTCTCTATACTTACAGATTGTCTGTGCACTAGAGCCTGCCACGTAGCGGTTGCGGTAGGCGTTTCTAATAGCCCCCGTCACTTGGTTTGCCACCAGTTGCTGAAAAGAAGAGATCTGGTTAATTAAACCATCACGGAGAACGTATATTTAAAGTCCGATCGCAAAAAGAGAGTTGTCCAGAAAAGACTTGAATCTTGTTCTGGATGTTCGTGAGCTGCCTTTAAAACTAAGTTTCCCAAGGATGGCCCAGAGAGTTTGAATTCCTTCACAACACTGTAACGAAATTAAAAGATGTACATTTTTACAGGAAATATAAAAAAGCTGAAGCTGCACATAAGCAGAAGAGGTGTCAGTCCCAGACCTAGCACGCTTGATATTAAAATCCTATCTGTGGTTTACCATGATGTAAAAACTAGGCTGTTGTGTGCCCGTGGCTTTTTATTAATCTCCCTCTATCCAGTGATCGCATGCTTTTGGATTTTACCCTTTTGTGTCCTTTTCACAAGTTCTACTGTCTTTGTTTGCTTTGGTTCGTAGTCTGAAATCCATTTTGTTACCGGTATATTATGGCTGACATTGTTTTCTGTGTAGACAGGGGGGTGGAATCTAAAATGTGTAGGGCAACATGGACTTTCATTTAGCAAAGACAGCATAAAAGGCGACTGTAGAAATAAATTTAATTTTAAATGTAGGTATTTTTGTCTGGTAGTAGAACAGATGCTTGTTGACTGACACGCTTTTGAGTTTCCCAGAATTGAGCTGCAACAGATTGTGAGATTACAGGAGGAGAAGAGCAAAAGAAGAAGTTTGTCCTCGTGGGGGCAGCACTTTTATCTTATCCAATTGCACTTCAATTTCAAACTTGGAAGCTTTTAAGATGTGTGGGCTTCGACTCCCACAAATGAATTCAGCTCCCAAAAATGCTGGCCAGGGAATTCGGGGAGCTGAAATCAACACCTTAATGTTTGAGATACGCTGCTCTAAATGCAGCAATCTTACAGTTTTGAGTTACGCAGTGAAAACTCTTGAAGAGCACAGGACAAGCAAAATCCTTTTGTCAGGAAAACCAAACCATCTCAGCGTGTAGACTCTAATAACAAAGTTCTACATCCTTGGAAGATGCTATTATTGCTGAGAGTAATTAATTGCTCACTATAGCGATCCTCAGTCTGATGGGCTGGCCATTTGATCATTCATTTTTCTTTACAAAAATAAATAATTATTTAGATAAATACTCTCTCTGGCTCCAAAACTTTTTATGTGGGCATTTAATTTAATGCTTTGGGCATTTTAGTTCCTGAATTCTTTTTCATTATTTGTACTAATTAAAAAGTAATCTATCATACTCACTTCTTTCTGCATTATACTAGTTTAATATAATGTATTAAAAATAGTTTTCTGTTTTAATACATTATTTCTCTTATAGTATATGTTGTAATTGGTCACAAACATCCAACAAACCATGATTTCAGTTCTTGATTCATCCTAATGGGATAGATTCCCTGGTTTGGGGTTTGGAGAAAGCCTGGCTTACAAACATTCATCTTAGGAGAAATACTCAACATATGTTTACTTGCTTGGACCTAATTAACATGCATACATCATACAAACTTGCTTCTGTGCTATGTATGTCATGTTGCCTAGCTGCTATTGTACTATAACCTTCAATGTAATCCCACTGTAGTTAGATATGAAAAAGTGCAAACACTCTGAATTCTCTCTTACAAGAATCTGAGTATTTTTATACATCTGTTCTGAATATTCTGTATTCCTCGCAGACTTGAAGCATCCTTCAAAATGATAAATACAGAGGATACATGGATCCTGATCCAAAAGTCTGTTTTCTCAGTAAATACTATGTTTTTCACACAATAAGATGCACTTCCACCACCACCCAAAAAGTGGGTGGAAATGTCTGTGTGTCTTATAGATTGAATATTGCGGTGGCGGGGAGGGAGTTGGTGCACTGCCGCTGCCAAGGAACGCTGGAGTCTTTGCTGCCGAACAGCTGATTGGCAGCTGGATCGGCCTCCCGGAAAACCGCCGATTGGCTGTTCTAGGCAGTGGGGACCGTAGCTGCCGCCTATCGCCACCCATTCACCACCTATCACCATCGCCCGATCACTGCTGATGGGTGGTGGCGAACAGGCAGCGATAGGCAGCGGCTGTGGTGATCCCCGCCACCTAGAACAGCTGATCGGCAGTATTCCGGGAGGCCAATCCAACTGGCAATCAGCTGCTTAGCAGCAAAGGCTCCAATATCTTCCGCCGGCAGCAGCAGCTCAGATCAGTTGACTGGTGGTGGGCGCAACGGAGCGGTGCCCTGATGAGCCATGTGCTGGGGCTGCAATAATGTGCTAAAGCTGACCGGGCTGTTTGCTGCAAGGACGCTAGCCAGATGAATATCGGATGGATGCTGGGAGGCGGAGGCAGATTTTTCCCCCCCTTGTTTTCTTCCCCTAAAACTAATGTGTGTCTAATATCCCGGAATGTCTTATAGTGCGAAAAATACGGTGCATGAAAGCCAAAAATAAGGCATGTGGGAATAGACAAGTTGCTTGTTATGAGAATGATCACACAGGGGAAGAAGTTAGAAACTTTTGGTTGCATCTTATAGCAATTTTCCATTTTAGCTGAAATGTAGCAAAGTGTTTTATAGAAAGCATGGTGTATTTTCAGACCATGGTTTGATTCCATTTTGTAAATAATGACTTGCTGCATTCAAATGAAAGACGTGGAGGAGGAAGAAGTATGGAAACCAAGCTAAGGTGGCATTGCTACTTGCTTTTATAACAACAATATGGCCTGCTACAACTTCTTGTTGACATTATGAGCAGGCACTCATCATTTAGCCGCTTTTTTTTTAAAGAAGTGCCTTTGTACTCCTTTAAGTAAGAAAAAATCCAAGTCCAAAAACCAATTTGCAAAGGCCCTCTTGAGCTCAGACTTAAAGAGAAGGGTTCTTACCAGCTCATCATGATCTTTAGATAAATTTTTAGTATATGAATATGGAAACAGAACCATCTGGGAGTAAGAGTGCATTGTTAGGTATGCTTTAATACGATCCTTGCGCTTTCTGAGAAAATTAACCATGGCTTTTACTTCTGGTTCAGATTCGGGGTAAGGTCCGCAGTAAATCTCTTCGCAGTCATTTCTGGATCCACCTTTTCCTTTAAGAAAAAACAAGAGCTTTATAATTAGCTTATAATTATAGGACCTTCTGTCAAATCTCAGTCTGCTAATAATAATCATGTATTATCAGAGCATTCCCCCTTTTTCAGGTTGAGGTGTGTGGACCTTTAATTCACATGGGGTTACTGGCAAAGTGCAAAACTTAATTTGAGTCATTTAAAAAATATATCTGTGTATTTAAGCAATTTCCTTTCTGGCTCCTTAAAGGTTACAGTACAAGTTGACGACAAATATGGAAGGGCATGAATGGAGCCTTAGTATTTTCAAAAAAATAAAGGCACAGGGAAGTAGTTGCCTTCTCTTTGTATACTATGGCTGTTTTGTGTGTGGCATTTTGCTGCTTAGCTTCACTTAAAGAAAAAGACAAACAAGTCACCAGAATATAAACTGACAGCAAACCGCACTCCTTACTAGCACTCCTGATGTTACCTAGTTTGGTTAATGAAACATCTTCAAGAAAACAAGCAATCTCAGAGATCACCAAGGACCCTTCTCTTAAGAAAAAAGACAATTTGCAATAAATAACCATACAATTTTTTAATCACCTTTTCATCAGTACCCATCAAAATCTTATCCAAGACAATTTCATTTGAGGATGAGAACAGGGTACCATCTGCCTCCTCCAGCTAACTAACTGAAGCCATCAGAAAACCTTCGTTACTGGGTGAAACTGGATGCTTTTCTGATGTTATATATGGAACCACATTTTGTATTCTTGTACATTTTTCCAAGCTATTAAGCTCTAGTTCAGCCTTCTCCAGTCAAATATACACCAGAACTGTTGGGATGATACCCCTAACCCTGACTCTGACTACCATGGACTGATGATAGTATATGTAGTCCAACACAACCTTGAGAAATCTTCTGAGCAATTCTATACCTACGTATTGGAAAATAAAATGGATTTTGGTGGTGTTTAACATAGGATAGGTTTGGAGAGCATTTTATATATCAAGTAAAGTATGAAACTTGTTTTCCCCAAGTATATGTAGATCAGTTTATACTTGATGCAACCAATATTCATAGTGTCTATGTGTATGTACAAACAAACATCATCTTACCACACCAGCCTGCATCAAAATTGCGATTCAGATCTGTCCCAATGCACTTGTTGTTGCCATGCTTTGAGCGGTTTTTCCTCCACATTCGATTCTGTAGATAACACACACACACACCAGTATTTATGTAAAATATTTTAATGTTAATATCACCAATGCGTAATTTGTAACCTAAAAAATCTCATTGCACATAATTGCACTTTTGAAAACAAGGCTTCCCAAAGAACAACTTGTTGATATCGCAGTGTTTTCCGAGCAGGCATTATTGTAAATGTTAAGGTTGATCCACGGACGCAAGTAAATGTGTGCTTAAATGAGTCTAAAATGCTCAGTATTTGTGTTGATTGTGGGCATCGCAGCCAAAGTAATACACACTGCAGACAAAATGGGGGCGTGCTTGTAAGAGCATGAAGACTGGAATCTAGAACTAAGGCCACCAATACTCCAAGTGCTGTTGGCAATCCCAAGCTTGAAAAATACACTGCTCAAAAAAATAAAGGGAACTCTTAACACAATGTAACTCCAAATCAATCCCACTTCTGTGAAATCAAACTGTCCACTTAAGTAGTAACACTGATTGACAATCAATTTCACATGCTGTTGTGCAAATGGAATAGACAACAGGTGGAAAGCAGAGGCGGTTAGCAAGACATCCCCAATAAAGGAGTGGTTCTGCAGGTGATGACCACAGAGCACTTCTCAGGTCCTATGCTTTCTGGCTGATGGTTTGGTCACTTTTGAATGCTGTCGGTGCTTTCACTCTAGTGGTAGCATGAGACGGAGTCTACAACCCACACAAGTGGCTCAGGTAGTGCAGCTCATCCAGGATGGCACATCAATGCGAGTTGTGGCAAGGTTTGCTGTGTCTGTCAGCATAGTGTCCAGAGCATGGAGGCGCTACCAGGAGACAGGCCAGTACATCAGGAGATGTGGAGGAGGCCGTAGGAGGGCAACAACCCAGCATCAGGACCGCTACCTCCGCCTTTGTGCAAGGAGGGACAGGAGGAGCACTGCCAGAGCCCTGCAAAATGACCTCCAGCGGGCCACAAATGTGCATGTGGCATGAGGGTGGTATGAGGGCCCAACGTCCACAGGTGGAGATTGTGCTTACAGCCCAACACTGTGCAGGATGTTTGGCATTTGCCAGAGAACACCAAGATTGGCAAATTCGCCATTGGCACCCTGTACTCTTCACAGATGAAAGCAGGTTCACACTGAGCACATGTGACAGACGTGACAGGGTCTGGAGACACCGTGGAGAACGTTCAGCTGCCTGCAACAGCCTCCAGCATGACCGTTTTGGCAGTGGGTCAGTAATGGTGTGGGGTGGCATTTCTTTAGGGGGCCACACAGCCCTCCATGTGCTCGCCAGAGGTAGTCTGACTGCCATTAGGTACCCAGATGAGATCCTCAGACCCCTTGTGAGACCATATGCTGGTGCGGTTGTCCCTGGGTTCCTCCTAATGCAAGACAATGCTAGACCTCATGTGGCTGGAGTGTGTCAGCAGTTCCTGCAAGACGAAGGCATTGATGCTATGGACTGGCCCGCCCGTTCCCCAGACCTGAATCCAATTGAGCACATCTGGGACATCATCTCTCGTTCCATCCACCAACGCCACGTTGCACCACAGACTGTCCAGGAGTTGGGGGATGCTTTAGTCCAGGTGTGGGAGGAGATCCCTCAGGAGACCATCCACCACCTCATCAGGAGCATGCCCAGACGTTGTAGGGAGGTCATACAGGCACATGGAGACCACACACACTACTGAGCCTCATTTTGACTTGTTTTAAGGACATTACATCAAAGTTGGATCAGCCTGTCGTGTTTTTTTCCACTTTAATTTTGAGTGTAACTCCAAATCCAGACCTCCATGGGTTGCTAAATTGGATTTCCATTGATAATTTTTGTGTGATTCTGTTGTCAGCACATTCAACTATGTAATGAACGAAGTATTTAATAAGAATATTTCATTCATTCAGATCTAGGATGTCTTATTTTTGTGTTCCCTTTATTTTTTTGAGCAGCGTAGAGGACTGTAGTAAGAAAACCATGCTTGTTGAGCGGAAACATCTTTCCGGTTAAAGTTAAACCTTGGTGAACACGTCTATTTCAGTTTACAGTAATTAGACCAAAGAGAACTTAGGACCAACATCTCTCTCTACCCATCTACTCATCTATTTTCCTGATGAGTTGAGGAGGACTGCCTTCTCACCTTTTTCCTCCCTGCAACAATCTGTGAACAAGGTGAGGTCGAGATTCTAGATTCCCACATTGGGCTAAACATTAGTGTAAAGGTTTATACTTAAGAGAAAATTGTAACCATGTGTACAACCACCCTGGTAACGTTCACCATGTGCTAAGCTAAGAACTAGCTCCGTTAGAGTTTACCAGGCTTCTGAATCAAACCACAATGTATAGCTCAAGGTTATCTAGTGTGAAGTGAAGATATAAGTCCAGGTAGCCTGAATATTGCTAAACCCATCATGCAGATCCATATTGAAAAGTAGAATTATCTTGCCTTATTTTTCTGTATGGATATACAGTACACTGTCAAACAAGTCATTCTTGATACTATTCACTTATGGGACAAGATGAATTCCTATTCCCTGCTTTCACGAGGTGCAGAATTTTGTTGAGTTGAGCACCAGCTAGGAAAACCAAATGTGAAGCTCATTGCTAGGTTTGTAACTTACACCAAATTTGGAAATATTTTTTTCCTGCATCAGGCACAAGATTAGACACAGCAAAATACATTTCTAAAAGTATTCTTTTTTATAACTATATTTCTAAAGTGAATACATTTGATAAATAATGTGTAGTGAGCATATTTATTTTATTTATTGGAACCAGCATCTAATGCCCAGAAAATAGGGTCAAAGAATGAATCATTCTGTAAATGATCGTAATTAGAAGCTAATGTTTTATGTGTGATCTAGCAGGAAATTTGCATTCCCTCCTCTGGTAATATTTTAAGAAAAGAGGCAATCCTGCAGCCCAAAGCTTACTGATGTGAATACTGATGTGTTATGACACATAAGGTAATGCAACATTGTAACAAGTCATCTCAGTGAAGATTATTTGGAGTTTCAAACTTTCCAGACCAAATTTTTTAATATATCTAGAAAAAAAAAAGTATACTTACAGTAGTCCATGTATACTCATAACCATCCACATTCATGATCGGCATGACATAGAAATCAAGGCGCTGTAGGAGTCTTGCCATTGTTACATCCCTGTCTAGAAATTGTGTAACCTAAAAGTGGATGCAAAAATAAGATTTAATGGAAACTGCCGAGTACTTTGCTGTATCCAATCAGTTATTCAAGCAATGCTATATTTGAGCATAGCTACATTCTAATTTGCATAATTCTATGTAGAGGGGTTGTAGCCCACACTCATTTTTAGGTTGTCTTTTGCTATCTCTAGTAAACAACTGTGCTTCACCAACAGGGTCTGAACTCTTTATTAAATAACTATGGAGTTATTTCTCCTGCACGTATTGGAATTATCTTCCCCCCCTTTCCTCCAAGAGCTCAAGTTTGCATGCATAGGACTGGAAAGAATTTATAGGTGGGAAGAAAAGATAACTTATCCCTACTCCTATCACTTTTTGTCCTGTTTTCAGAATTGAGGACAGACTTCTTGTGCCCGCCTTCCCAACGTAGTGCTAGTCAGATATGTTGGATTACAACTCCCACCATACTAAGTCAATGGATGATAAGGGAGACAGCTTAACACAAGCAGAGTTCAACAGACTGAAGGAGCCCCCGCTGGATTTTTACTCCGCTAATTGTTGTTTGACTATTAGAGGCAATGCTCATCTCCATTTCAAGGCTATTGAGCCACAGCTGTCTGATGACATTTCCATAATCATGTGGCTAGCATGATGTCACAGAACACTGTTACCTTTCCACTGTAGTGGTACCTATATATCTACTTGCATTTGCATGCTTTCGAACTGCTAAGTTGGCAGGAACTGGGGCAAGGACGGGAGTTCGTGTGTCTGGGCTTTCCAGGAAGCAAGCCTACCGTCTTAACCACCGAGCAACTGCACCACACCTGAAGAAGAAGAAGGCTTGCCTTCCACCACCCCACCACCCCAAAAAAACCCCACAACCTTTTAATATAAGGCTCTGAATTATTTAATCACCATAAAACTTTCCCACTGTGCCTCAGAGTCACACTCTGGGGGCAAAGTTTAAAGATGAGTAGATCTAGTTGCTTACTATTTATCGCCATTGCTTCTCACTTCTTAAGTTAATGCTTTACTCTATGTCCCATGAAGAAAGAGGAATTCCACCAGGGAATATAGACATTGAACTGGTTTTGTATACTTATAATCTGCTCCCTACTTTACCCGTTTAAGCTGATTTATGCAAAAGCATAATACATGGAATTATCTGAATTTGCATAGTATGAGAAATTGCATGACCTGATCTCTTGTCTCACTCTAGGCTTATAGGGTTGGCTAGTTTATGGATCAGGGTGTTACATGAACACAACTGTTGTTGACCTACTGACTTTTTCGTTCTCTGAAATGATACGTGGGAATGACTTTTGGAGATGAGAAAGAGGAAACTTAGCCCACAGCAGGAAAAAAGACATGTCAACCATCTCAGAAGAGACCCTCCCTAGTTTCTTGGGCTGTAAGGCAATGGGAGAAGTGTACTTTTCAAGTGTGCAAGGTTGATGTCAGCCTTACATGGTTGACGTCAGCCTTACATCCAAACGAGAAGCACACCCAGATGAATTAAGTACTTTATTGTAAGTTTTTACTTTCATTAACAGAATCTCCCTTTATTTTTATCTTGGTCTTCTACCTTCTCTTTAAAATAAATAAAAGACTCCAAGCTCCTTGGGATCCAGAACTCATGTTTATTTATCAAATTCTGAAAAGTACACCCTTTTTTTGTCTCCTTCCTTGGTAGGTATGTAATGTATGTGCAAATTAAAAAAAAACCCATCAACCCATCAAGTTTTTTAAAAAAACCCATCAACTTACGTGTCCTGTAAACCAGAGACAACAAGCTGGTGAAACCCATTCCCTTGCATGGATTCCACAATCAATCCAGATGGCATTTTTGGGAGTTCTGCTTCTATGTGAAAACTAATAAAAGGCAATTTAATGGCATAGGTTCCCAAGAAGACATATGGCTACTTGATCACATTGATTATCCTAAAGCAACATTGCTTGTAAAATAATTTCCAAAATAACATGCTACTTTCAAGTTTCAGTGCAACAAGCAAAAAAATTAAAATTGTCCCTCTCCTGAAAAGGAAATCAAAATCCAGTGGAAAGTTTTTGGCTCTCTTGAGTCCATTTTCTCAATAAATCAAGTCAGTTGCAATTGGACGTACCCACTTGGCATGCCCAGAGGGGTCCCAAAATTGCTTCAATTCCACCTCTACCTGGTTCCCTGTTCCAGGTAGCATTTCACCTTCTGAATCTGAAGGAATTGTGAAGTTTGGCCAAGCATACCTTCAAAACATAAAGCGGACGTTTATCAAAAGAATATCCAATGTGTATCTTTTGGACGATATCAGGATGTCTTCTGGCTATTTCATCCATCCATGTATAGATCTAAAAGATAAAATGGCTCTTTCAGCAGAGATAGGGCATTTTAAATCTTTGAAGTAACAACTTCCTTCTATTATTCCTTTTATTATTCAGTTAATTCCAGATGATATCAATAGGATCCCAACTACTATTTGTGTCCTTCCTTATTTTTTTCCAGGATGGTTGTATATTGAGCACAGACTAAACCAAGTTCCACAAAATTGGGATATAATCAATATTTCTGAAGGTCAGGACAGCTATTTAGGCAATTTGTGTGTTCCAATAATTAAAAGAATAATGGAAGAGGCAGGAAAAAGCAACTGGTGTGACCTAACTGTTTCTGCAATATACTTACAATACCAAGTTAGCTTATTTTACAGGTTTAACGTAATGATTTGAAGAAGATAAAACATGGAAATATTGTTGCGTATTTTAAACCCAATTTTTTATTGTCGAAAAGGTTTTTGAGCTGATTAAAAACATTACATTAATGGTACAAGATATGGGTCATAAAACTCGAGGAGCAATTACACCAAAAAGTCTTACCACTTTTAGAGAATTAAATTATATCCTTAGCGGATGAAAAGAAGCATAACTTTGGACTTGTCTCTCTGGCATAAAAATAAGGAACAAAACGACAATAATTGGATCTTTCTCTAGCAAACCATAAAGTATTACTTTAAAGGCCTTGTGAAAAAAAAACTCAACCTTAACAGTCTTCCCAAAAATCTCCAAGGAAGATGTCCTTATAATTTTAGGCTGGTTGGTGGCAGTCAGAATTTCCTCTTAGCTGCATTTTACACCAATTGACGTTTCCAAGCACGCTAATCTTCAAACCAAATCCAGCTCTTAAAAAGTGGTGTTGATTAAAGTAGTGGTGATGAAGGTGTGCACTCCAGTAGGATCCCACCTGGTAAACCAGCCAAATGTGGGCGAAGGCTCCCCTCTATAATCATACTCTCTCTCCACGAATCCAGAACTCTCAAGTTGCAGATCCAAGTTGCAGCCAACCAGATGAGAGAGAGCAACTCTGTCTTCTTTCCGTTCAATTTGGTCACTTGCACAGAGCAATTATTGACTCATGGCATCCAGGGAAGATGTTTGTTTGTTGACCTAAACAACCTTACAACTATTTGGCTATGAAATCCTTGGTTAGTAACTCCCTGAGAACCTACCACAGGGTTTAGGAATAAAGGGACCAATTGCACCAAGTCTTACCACTTTTGGAGAATGATATTGCTCATAGAATGAAATAGAACTGCGGGGGGTAACAGTGTCATTGATGGTTTGTAGGTCAATAATTTTCTGAACATCATCCAGAGAAACTCTGAAAAGAAAGCGCATAACGGTTCATCATCTTTGATATAAAAACAAAAATGATAGTAGCCTTCTTGCAGGCTTGGAGAGCACAACAGAAAGTATCATACCTGAATAAAATGGCAGATCGGTTAAGCTCCGCTTTCACGTTATCTACATCAGAAACATTGACATAAAAATGTACCTCCTTATTCCTTACAATGTTCTCAGGGGAAACAGGTTGCCAAAGCACAATCTATTTTGAAGTGAAAGAGAATGACACGCAGAATGGGGTCATTGATTACTTCTTATACTTTCTCACGACAATCTATTTTATCTTGCAGCTTTTAATTTATGCTCCTTTTATGCAAAATATTTTGAGAGAAGTAGTTGGGGGCTTCCTTTCTACTCGTTCTGAAACTAAACTCAAAACTAGTAAGGTAGAAAACTAGTAATTTTCTGTCATATCTATCTTGATTTTGCTACTTCAGTTTACATATTAATTCTCACTGCATGATAATTATCGATCTACTAATGTAAATTGCATGATGCAATAATGATGTTTCCATTGCCATCACCATAAGTATGTATATTCCTATAAATACATTAACTAAGGGGACATCATGAATCTTTATTTTACTCCCTGCTCAAAATTGCTAATCCTAATCTGTGTTTTTACTTCAGTTCTACAACAGTCTAGAAATAGCTTTCAACACCACATTTTTGCAAAATCTTCCACAAAGCTTGTTGAGCCACGGTGGCACAGTGGTTAGAACGCAGTACTGCAGGCTACTTCTGATGACTGCCAGCTGCCTCAAATTTGGCAGTTCAAATATAACCAGGCTCAAGGTTGACTCAGCCTTCCATCCTTCCAAAGTCGATAAAATGAGGACCCAGGTTGTTGGGGGGCAATAGGCTGACTCTGTAAATCTCTTAGAGAGGGCTGTAAAGCATGGTGAAGTGGTATATACCGGTAAGTCTAAGTGCTATTGTTATTGTTCATTTTATTATACACTTTTTTCTATCAATAAATGTAATCCATCTTTCTCACATTCAAACACTTCTTAGTGACCCACTGGCATAAAACTGCATGTCTCTTTCTGAATGTTGCTGTCATCCCTCGCAGTCTGTCAATCAAACTTCTGCAAAAGACTTTCTTAGGCACACCTAACTTATTAATTCCCACTCTCACACACCCCACCCCAGTTTTTGCATGCACTCCTGCTACCTTCACCTTCATGAAGGGGAACAATAACTACTTTCTTCCAGTTGTTAGACTGAGAGATGCAATCGTCACATGTACTTTTGGTAAGGGCTGAAGATGGCAATGTGACAAATAGGATAGGCAGAACCATTGTGTAAAGATGGAAAAGATGCCAATCCCGCCATTAGTGTAACTCCACACATTTCTATGTGATGATGATTCAGATTTAATGTAGCTGCCTACTCCATTAGATGTACAACTCTTCATTTTGTTCCAAGCAATTTCTACATGCTCTTTTAAAAAGTCTACTTACTATGCATTTTATTGGGAGATTAATCTATCCCCCAATATATTTTTAAAAATATATTAAGGGATAGATTAATATATACCTATATAAACTTCTGTTTCCTGCAATTTTTCTACTTTCACTCTTTTGTTTTACCTTTTCCCCCCCTTCTGTGTCCATTTTTTTCCCTTAAACTCCATTCCAAATATTACCAAAAATGGTCGCAAATGAATACTGTTTTCTGACTAGATTTATATATCACCCTTAGCTGCTTTTGGCTGGGTTAGTCCTAAACTGTTTATTAACCAACATGGCTCATTTCACATCACACTAAGCCAAAAGCAAATTCAACCCCTTACACTTTAAAGCAATGTGAAAATCCAGCTTTTCTGCACTATGGTTCTGCACTATGGTTTGCCAAAAGCTATTACCTCAAAAGCATTGGTCAGATTCCGTAGAATGTCCGCTTCTCTGTCAGATTTTGGAAAAGCCCACAAAACCTGATCACTGAAAGAGAAAGAATGAGAATGCAAAGATCTGAGCTGCAGAAACCATGGACCGAAATTATGAGTTTCCCATTCTGAATGACTGAGCAGCCATGAATGTACAAAAGAGCCTTGTTGGCACGGTGGTTAGAATGCAGTATTGCAGGTTAATTCTGCCCACAGCCAGCAGTTCGATCCTTATCAGGCTCAAGGTTGACTCAGCCTTCCATCCTTCTGAGGTTGGTAAAATGAGGACCCAGATTGTTAGGAAGGGCAATAGGCTGACTCTGTAAACTGCTTAGAGAGAGGGCTGTGAAGCGGTTTATAAGTCTAAGCGCTATTGCTATTGCTGTAGACTTCAAATAATGTTGCAAGAAGCCATTCCAGGAGCTTTGGCTCATCTAGCATATTTTGGAATAGCCCACATTGACTGGGAAAGTCTGATTGATCTGCTGGAATGGAGTCTGGCTGGAACTGGAAAAAAATATTGCACATTTCTCATGGTATATGGTGTATGTGATGATTTGAGCCTCTGCAGGCCTTTGTCTTAATGTCAGTGACCCTACATAGATGATAGAACCCAACCAAACAGGAAACTCACTATGAGCAAATGAAATATCCTGAGGATGCCGCTAAATATACTGCCCTGCAAGCCAGATAAACCCATGGTGGTTTATCCAAATGTGGCTTTGAAGAGAATTATGAATAGATATGCAAGTAGTCCTCGACTTACGACAACAACTGAGCCCAACATTTATGTTGTGAAGTGAGACATTTGTTAAGTGAGTTTTGACTCATTTTACAACCTTCCTTGCCACATTTATTAAGTGACTCCCCACAGGTGATAAGATAGTAACATGGTTGTTAAGCGAATCTGGCTTCCCCGTTGGTTTTGCTTTGAAAAAAGAGGACACGTGAATGAGGGAACTGCACATTTGTTTTTGTTTTTCCATCCTTGTGAAAGTGTAATTAGGTCATTATATCTGTTTTATTTCCTAGGGCCATTTTCATTTAAAATGAAAAGTCCGTATCACTTATAAATCACATGGTTGTGAAATCAAGAATCAGTACGAGCTTAAAAAAACACGACTTGTATGAAATCGGAAACCATATGAAATTTGGTACCTGAAACCATATTTGTTAAAGGAGTGGTCTCTGGGCTTCTTTCCTGCAAGGACCTAATCCCCAACTGTGCTTCCTGGAACCATATAGCTAGGAACGCCTCTTTTAATTTTTAATTTTTTTTAAATATACAAATTTAGAAACCATCTATCTCACTCACAGAGCAACTATTTATATCAGGGGTCTTCAAACTTGACAGGGTTAAGACTTGAGACTTCTGGGTTGAGCTTCTTCAGTGACAGACTGAATCCGCGATTGTGCATGGTTTCGATCCGTGCTCGCTGCCGGAGTGCCCCGAGCCAGCTGGATTCGGGACTAAGTAGAGGTGGTGAAGAGGGGGGAGACCACCAGTAGGGTCAAGGAGAGCCGCATCTCTCCTCCTCAGCTGGCCATTACTCCCTTTCCTGAAGGCGGTTGCAGCGGTGGTCAGAAATGGCCACCTCAAAGAAGAACTCAACCGGAAAAGAATGTGCAGGAGGAAGATAAGAAGAGAAAGTTTTGGTTGACCGGGTTGAACTGAAAAAGCAACAACGTAAGGTACCCTGGAATTTGAACTATAAAAAATAACATTGTTCCCAAAGAAGACTTTGGAGCAGCAAAGGAGAGAGGGAAGGGAAAGAATTTGGCTTTTTTTTTCTTCCCTTCCTTATACTAATAGCTAAGAGATTTAAGTAAGAAATTGACAAAAATCCACTTTGACATCAATAGGCATTTAAGCTGAAAATAAAATGTCAAAGGGATAATAAAGACTTTTGGATACTCAAAAACCTTTAAAAGCAGGAAAGGAGAGAAAAGTAAAGAATAAAAGGGCGGGATCTGGAAAAATGGAGGAGACTGCCTGGAACTAAAAGGAACTTATAGTGAAACCTTAACAAGATTCCTAAAAGATACATTCTAACTGAAACTTTGTAACAAAATAATAGAATCCCAGGAAGAGAAAGTGGAAAAAAGAGGCAAGAAGAAACAACTTTGGATTATTTGGATTACTTGGTGATTTTTGGATTGTTGGCTATTGGATTTGACTAAATGAGTAAAATCAATCGGGCGGTTGTTTAAAAATGTTTAAAGTGGCATCACTTTTAGAAGAATTGAAAATGGAACAAAAAACAGAAAGAAGGTACACAAGAAGGAACAGGTTCTTTTGGCTTCTTATTTCAATTTTTAGAAATGGAAATCTGGAATTATGAGAAACAACAAGAAATGCTTGTAGAACAAGAAGGTCAGGACAAAGAAGAAGCCATCTTTAATGATCAAGTTACTTTATGTTGGGGGGGAGGGAAGGAAAGGGGGGAAAGAGAGTGAAAAGTTTAAGATTTGAAAAAACAACCCAAAAAAGAATAGTTTGAAAAATAATTACAATATTAGGAAGCAACAGAAGAGAGGATTACAGAAGAGAGAATTAGAAGTAGAGAGACAAGGGGGCAAAAAGGGGAGGGAGAAAAAGAGGGGGAAGAAGGAAAGGAAAAGAAGTTATAAAAGACAGAAACAAGATATAGAGAAACAGGGAAAAATGTATAAGGATTGAAAGTATAAGCCTATTTAGAGATAATTGGTGAAAATTTAATTGAAAAAGGGATTCTGCAAAGGTACATAAGATAGTACCTTTGGGGTTTCTAAAACACTAATTGCTAGAACCAAACGCCTGGCAGACAAGACACACATAAAGACTAAACTATGCACCCTGACTAAAGTACTGACAGCCAAAAGCAAAATCACTGGCTTGATCCACAAAAACACACTGAGACATAATGGAGACCTAGAAGATGAACAGACCTATGGAACAGCTGTCCTGCCCTACATAAGAGGTACTACAGACAAAATCAGTAAGATACTACACAGGCATCACATCAAGACTGCCTTCAAAACAGACAGAAAAATAGCAGCCATCCTTAGAAATCCCAAAGATAAAATTGACCTGGAAAACCAAGGCATATACAAAGTCCCCTGTGCATCATGCCCGGCCACATACATTGGACAGACCAATAGAAGAATAAGTACCCACCTGGATGAACACAAAAATGCAGTAAAAAAGCTGAACACACTTCCTCACTAGTCCAACACATGAATCCACAGGTCATAGCATCAACTTCAATGGCACCAAAACCCTAGCCACTATAGAAAACCCCAGCCACAGAATGATCAGAGAAGCCATAGAGATTGAAAAAAGACCTGAAAGCATGAATAGAAGAGATGATTCCACCAGACTGTCAATTATTTGGAAGCCTGCACTCACAAACAAAAAAATATCCACACCACTAGCCAGGCAAACACCTGGGCATAAACACGTCCCCCCTGATACCTCCAGCTCAAACACACCCCAACCAGGCACCCAGATGAAACCTAGCTTCCTAACAAATGATAGCCGTCCATTCACTTGGAGCCAAGCTGCACTAAAAGCCTCCAATACAGGAACACAATGTTGCCAGCCAATCAAGACACACAAAAAAGCTACAAAACTGACAGAAGATAATAGAAACACCAATCAAGCAGAATACAGCAAACTCCAAGACCAATAAACACAGACCAAGACTCCCAACCAATCAGGATGAAGAAAAAACCATTCCGGCACAGCAGTAGGCTAGCCCCAAATTTAAAACTGAAACAACTGTAAAAGTCTGACTCACAGATGAACACAATACAGAAGCCTGATGATGGCAGATGAGATTCTGCCAAAACGTTGCTACAACTTTAAAAGCACAACTATAATGATGTGGGAAAATACCCGAACAAAGCTGAATAATATATATTATATTATATTATGTTATGTTATGTTATGTTATGTTATGTTATGTTATGTTATGTTATGTTATGTTATATTATATTATATATTATATTATATTATATTATATTATATTATATTATA